CATATGGAATAAGCTAATACGGGTTGGGGGAGGAAGAGGGGTGGTGTTTAGGAACATGTTTTATAAATAATGTGACATACTGATATCTCATGCGCTGAGAACATGTAGGAATATTTATTTGTGTTTCATCCCCTAGCTGTAAATACAGACAACTGAAGGTGTGGTTAGAGGTGGGAATCATTAGTACAGCCCCCTAACCACCATGTAAAGTAGCAAATGTGCCGTATGGAAAGACAGAAAGAAGTAGGAAGAGAAACTCTTCTAACTTTTCCCAGCCGCGCACCGAAATCTCATGGTCCTTTACGCGCTCTCGCATGCGCTCCTCATCAGGCCATACAGCATGTCCTGTGTCAAACTAAGCAAAGCAACATCAAAACCTACGCCAACGCTGCCATCATTCCACGCAAGCCCTGTACCACATAGGCGGATCCAGCGCGGTTTCCTGGAGGAGGGGTGGAGGTGGAGGGGGGAGGGGGAGTGGGAAGAAGGAGACCGATTTGGGCGATTTTTCTTCTCCTTTCCCCTCCGCTCAACGATCATAGCGGCAGCCACCAAGGAGAGGAGGAGGGGGCGGGAGGGAGGAAAGGGGGAAAAGAAAGTGGAGCTCACGTGGCGGAGGGAAGACGATGGCTGCCGAAGAAGGTTTTATTCACCTTTAGCACTGCTACCTGTGTCGCTGGGAAGGGGGAAAAGGCGAAAGACCCATCGCCAGTCTTTAGCCCAGGCCTAAAAAATCGAACCCAACAGCGAGTGGGTACCAAAGTGCGCCGAAAGGGAAAACTGGCTGCAGAGACAGCAATGGGCAACTGGATCTTAGCAAAGACAAAGCTGGGAGCTTATCTACAAAAGAGAACCGCGGCATGATCGACTTGTCACGACACGTTACCGACATAACACATCTGTGGTGGGAATACAACAACACTCAAAAATTTCAATACAACACTCAAAAATTTCACGATCTTCAAAATGTAAAATTAGCTCAAATTTGTAACTCAAACTACAAGCTAGGTACTGGTGAAAACTGGCAAATGACTTTCAGTTATTTACTCCGGATTTCGCCCTTCAAAGAATTCCCAGTCTCTAGCTTTTCTGGTTCTCGAGTTATAAAAATAGTTTAGATCTGGAACTGAGGCTCTGGCGCCGCTTCTGAGGTTTTTGGCGATGTTAAGCTCAACAGATGTTTCTTTTTTTTGAGTCTTAGGTGTGCCACTTATTTGCAAAAATATGTTGAGTGGGATGAAAATGCGCATGGAAAATCGCTAAAGTTAGTTGAAAGGTTGCCAACCATAACTGAGGAAGCTGAGATGCGCAGGAAGGCTGAAAAAAAAAAGATCGTAATCTTATTTTTCGATAAGGAGCTTTGAAAAGCAGGGGGAAAAGTTACCCAACTTCGCGCCCTAAAATGATAGGCTAAATTTTTCTCTTTCGCACTTCAGGTTTTCTTAATCTATAGGAGGTTCAGCTGCAAGAGTTACCTCTTTTTAGTACAAGAAAACGCTGCACCAAAACTGTTTATTTAAGGGGAAAATACGAGGAAAATGAAATGTATCATGAAATTTAACCAAAAAAAGCAAAGAAATCAGCCAATAAATGCAAACTCGAGTATTTCAAAGCAAGCCATTGAGTCGTGGAAAACTTAATTTTTTTTGCAAAAAGTGAAATTCATTGCCGAAATGAATAAAAATGTTGTTGATGGCTGAAGGGCTCGGAAGAAAGTCAGCGCCTTTTAGCCATCACTAGCATTTGTAAAGTCCTTTATTATTTAGCCGTGCTGAACTTCATTCGGTTTGTAGTGTTCTCTACTTTATTTGTTATTCTTCGGCTTACCTATAGCCGCAAATTACCACTGCACATCTACCAAAACCCCGACATTCCTGCTTGGAATGATTAATTATTGGCTAGGCTTCCATGATCCTTTCTTTCCTTTCTGTTTTGTAAAATCCACTGCTAACAAGCACAGAAAAAAAAAGAAACGTACGCGGGGGCATCAAAAAAAAAATAAATAAATAAATAAATAAATAAATAGCAACGCGCACCAGACTAGCCGGTGCGACCATGTGTTTTGTGCAATTCAGCCCATCGAACGATTGCCAATTAATGATTTCCACTGCTTTGTACTTTATTCTATGCAAAAATAGTTCAAACATTCGAAAATAGTTAAAAATTTCACGCATCAGCGCATGAAAGCTGAATTCAGAACCTTGAAGGGCGAATATCTTCCCGTGATTCCCGAGTTAATGGTTTACCCGCCAAAATTTTCATGAGGCCATAAGTGATACTCAAGAGCGCGGGAACGCTGAATTTGAATAGGCAAGGTCGAGTGTGGGCAGGGGGTCATTATCCAAAAATTTCAGCCTCCTAGACTCCGTGGTTCCCGAGATATTAATTTACCCAAAAAACTTTCACGGGGCCGTATGTGTTACTCGTGGGTACGGGAAAGCTGAATTTAAATTTAGTGTAGTGTTCCCCCGCCGCGTCACCCGCTGGCGGGTAACACTACACTAAAATTTCAGCCGCCTAGCTTTTGTGGTTCCCGAGCTGGAAGTGCGGGACAAAATGTGGGAGACACACACAGAGAGACAAACCCGTGACAATATGCGTTTTGTAATGCTGTTACACAACACAAAATGCACAAAAAAGAAACGTACAGCAAGCTCCTCGGGATCGATGTACTCATCCACAACTGCACTCGTATCCATTCCTGCAAAAGGAAACTTGCGAATTTTACAAGGGGAAAAAAAGGCATCCGAAATTCTAACAACGCTGGTCCGTCAGGAAATAACAGAATTACCAAAACTGCTATGAAAAATCGGCATCGGCACTTCCTGCTAGCGATGTTATCAGGATTTTTCATACAGAAAACACGATTTCAGGTCCCGTCATCTTCCGGTCTCCCTGCCAAGAATATTTACTGTTTGTATTTTTAAAACTTCTACAACTCTTGTTAAAACTACAGACAGTTGAAGAATCGTTGTTCAGGAGCTAATTCGTAAAATGAATATCAAGTGGTCTAGGATTGACCAGGCTCGAGGTAAGGTGGTGATGTCCAACAGGCACATGAAGGAAATCCTAAAGCCGCTAGAGCATTGCCAAGTACTACTTGTCGGAAAATTCCTAGGCTGCTTATCTTTTCAGGGGATGATAAAAAACGTCGATTCTGTTAGCAAGCTGACCACCAGAGAGTGCTGGACTAATGAAAACAAATGGAAAAGTTGGCAGTTGCATCAGACTATGCACCACAGCTGTCCCAAAAATTGCAGGTAAGCGCAAACCGATGACCAGAGCGAGCAGGAAGCAGTATTTTTACTGAGGATGTTTGCTGTTCATGTGCGGGTCATCACGTGTCATGGGTGCGGAGCACAGAGATGCATACAAATGTTCAAATTGCAACAAATCGATCCCACTGAAAATCGATACTTTCGTCGATGCATATCACTGTGCTATTTATTACTGTACAATGTAAGGGCAGCGGGATGAAAATCCGACATGTAGTAAGAAGTCCAGTCACTACTGCAGTCTGTGTTTCATCGCTTAGTTGTAAAATAGAAGAGTAGAAGGATTTTACGTGAATCTCATGTGTAAGAAGACATTTTATGATGCAGTCTATCTGTGTTTCATCCCTTAGCTGTAAACACACAAATCGAACTGTGCATGCGGGAATCAACTATGCATGCAGGTAGGAGCGGGAATCATCAGTAAAACCTCATATTCGTCATGTCCTGAACAGTCATGTAACTAATTTGCAAGATGGATAAGCGAAAGAAAGAGATCTAAATGAAAGAGATATAAGTGAACTATGCATGCGGTTAGGAGTGAGAATCAACAGTACAGCCTCCTTCTACCCGCAATGTTTTGAACGGTCATGTAACTAATTTGCAAGACGGATAAGCGAAAGAAAGAGAGTTATAAGTGAAGAGATATGAAGCCGAGTATCCAGACTAATTTCGCTGTAATCCTTATGGCCTGAATTTGATGTGTGCTATTGAAGTGCCGAGCAACACTGAAACAAACCGATGTCCGTTTCGCAAAAATAATTTCAAAATTAAGCAGAACCATTGAATTGAGGTCACAATGAGGGAAAGGGAAGGGGGGTGATCCAAGAATTATCTTATTCTCCTTCCTTTTATTCCTTCCTTTAAACCCTTACTTTTTACATAAACACACATCATCTGAAATTAAAATTACAATTAAACTAAGTTTTTGCTATCCAAAACTCATTTCAGCACTTGTATCATAGTCTATTTCCCAGTCTATGCAGGCTGACAACTTTTGCAGTTGCTTTAATCAGTGCCGCTGTATCGTCCGACGGGATCAGTGTGCTGCTGGCGATCCTGACGTTCGTTTCGTTTCTTGAAAAAACTGCTAGCCCAACGTTTTGCCCGGTGGAACCACCGGAGATACCGCGGTTTGCTGGCCATCACCACTTCGTTTCGAACGATGCTACTGTTCAAGCATGATAAGGTAGGCCCAACCGAAGCCACCCTATTCAAAACTGACGTGAATTCAGAGCCAGATCTACAACTAGGAATAATACTGAAACTGCCAGCACACAGATAAGAGCCTGGAAAATTGCCAATACACCGCACACACCATTTGCACTCCTGAAACACTGCGCTCGTGCTTCCCAGGATTTACGAAATCAGGGGATTAGTAAAACTCGGCTCGGCTCGGCCGGCCACGGCCCAGTTCAAAGGCAAGTTCCAGTGCTAGAGCAGATATGGGAGTAAGGGACGCGAGGAT